GGAGGAATAATTCTGAGCAGAAATCTCCCTCACCCTGCAAGTTGAAGCAACTGCCATGAGGGGGGCAATTTTCGCCAAGAGGAATTGTAAGAAACAAGTTTTCAGTTCAAAGGGTTTAAATGTAAATGCTGAAAGTGCTAAGGACAGACTCCAGGCTAAAAACAAAAAAGAGACTCAACAATTCCTTCATGAACAGTATTATTTGAGTATTAGTATTATCTGAAAAAGTATTATTTGAAAAAATGGAAGCATTGTCTACCTGAGCATGGATGTCGAGAAGGTCAGTACAACTTTTAATGAGGAAAGAGAGAGACTTGCAATTCTGGAGACAGCAAAAAGTGATGAGGTATAAAATGGTAACATTACTGCAAATTCCATGAATTTTTTGCCATCCAGAAGTATATCCTTTACAGGCATAGTGTTGATGTTGTAAGAAACACTTCCCAATTGAAATCAAATAGAATTCAGGTCTGAATCTGCCATGCCATGAATTTGAACGACAGCAAATCCAGGTATCTCATTCAGCCCTTATAAAGTCCCAACAGGTCTGGCATTTTTGGTAGGCAGATGTACGTGCTGTTATAGTAAGTACAGAACCATGTAAACCAGGGCCAGTAGGACTATGACTGAGTAATCAAGATCCAGTCAGTTTTGTCTCTATTGCTGCAAATATTCTGGTCATGAGGATGAGAGGAAGGGTTTGGAGCCTTTTAACCAGCTTCAACACTAATGCAGGCACTGGGTTTAGTCATAGTGGTAGACAGAGCAACATCTGCTGGAGGAACAATGCCAGAGGAGTATAACTACAACACTGTTTCACTTTCCATCCATATGTCGTAGGTAAAGAATGGCTTACAGTGCCTGCTTGAGTATCCAGGAACATTAATCATTTTCTTCAAGCATTAGTCCCAAGGGTCCAGTGAGAGTAGCAATTAAAGGGAGAACTTCGCACCTCCCTGCTTGTGCATGTAGCAGATCGTAACTGTATTGCCCAACGTGGAGTGTTCAATACTCTAATACAGTTCCAAAAACATTTAGGCCTTAAGTATCACTAGAGGTCTTAGCTTGTTGATGTGAAGCATCTTCTCTGTTCTTAACTATGACCCTTTGATTCCTAGGAATAGATAATATGACCACCATTTTATGAGGCAGGCATCTAAAGTGAGAGTTAGAGAGGAGAGTTTGATCAAATGGTGTGTCTCTTATTAAATTGTTCATATATTCCATGGAGACACCTACTCTTCTAGGATGTAAAGTGCCATCTGATGGATGTTCAATATCTGTGCAACCATTAGGAAGTACCAAGCCTGTAAGGTTCACAAATGGAGTCTTGTAGTTTGCACTATATGACTCAGGAGTTGTAGGATCACATGAGCAGGAACTGAATTCATGGAACTGATTCATGAGACCAGTGTAGAAATTGTATCCACTTTGTCTGAAGTCAATCACAACGATCTTAGCTCCAATGAACTTTAGAACCTGAGAGAGAGAGAAGTATGATTTTTTTTTTGAAGTTAACTTTCAAGCTTATGTACTCAAGCAAGATAAGGGCCATAAATATGCCCTATATAATTCTTTTCTGGGTGGCAGTGATCAACAGCCAGTCATTTAAGTATTTGATAACCATCACCTCTCATGATTGTAGAGATGCCACTACTGCTGCTATAGATATTATTGTAAACCACAAAGCAATGGTTTAGCTGAAGGAGAGCCATAAGGATTTTTGGTAGTGGAACATGATATTGATGTGGAAACATACACCTATCAGGTCAGGTCGATGGATGCAAAGCTCTGCCCTTCTTGTAACAGTGGAAGGATAAAATTGAAGATACCACCCTGAATTTTGACAGGAGGAAAGAGGAGTTCACGTCCCTCAGGTCCAGGATAGGCCACAAGTCTCTGTCCTTCTTAGGGGCAGCAACATAGCTAGAATAAAAATTCTGCCAGATCTCATGGGGAAAGTCTCTACTGTGTCTTTGAATAGTAGTATATGTACCTGCCAGAAGAGGGATGACTGACTAGGATGCTGACAGAAGTGGGAATACAAGCTCGGTACGGTAGCTATCTTTGACAACGAAGGCTACCCAACTGACTACAGTAGTTGCAATCAAGGTGATCAGTAAATGGGCCAAAATCATAACACTCCTGCTATCTTTCAAAATTGCTGCTTATGAGACTGGAAGGATTTCCTTCAAGACTAAGTTTTATCCCTGGGCCTGAGGTGCAGTTTTCTTTAATCCATTTAACTGTGAAGTGATTAGAGAAAGAGATGTGGGCATCATGCTTGAGTGGTGTACAGTTCCACTACCAAGGACAAGAAATAGGTTTGGTTTTGCTGAAGATCCCTGAAGTTTCAAGCATATGCATCACATCCAGTATGCCCTCTGCTTAGAAATTAAATAGTCATACTCCATTAAAGGAAACATTCATGTTTTTTTCTTCCTTTGGTCTGCAAACATAGCTAGGGATGATAGTAGAGGGCTACAGGTTCAGCTAGAAACTAAGAAGTTTCTAGAAGTGCAG